TCCTGGGTTCTTCGAATACCTTTTATCGATTCAAGGGTTCGACCCCTATGTCGCTCAACTAAATATCCATTGATGCGCCTGTCCGTAACGCCATCAGCCTTCGCTGTCGCTTCAAGCATCGCTATGATACGCTTCTTCTCATCTGACCATCGCAATTTAACTCGTGAGACGTCGATGTTGTCATTGGCCACCTCAGCATGCGCTCTGCGCATGTGCACACCGACACTAATCTTGCCTTTGAACATACGTTCACATATCGGGCAAGGGAGAAGGGCGGGCGGGACGGACGAGCTAGGCTCGCCGGCCGACCCAGCAACATGAGTGGGGGTGGCCGCTGTTTGGGATCCACCCCCCATCCGAGGCTCTGTGTTACTAAAATTCACGTTGCTTAATAAGGGGGACCATAGCGCTTGGGAACGCCATGGCCCCAAGGAATGCCCGCTTCATTACTAGCTATGAGCTAGCCCCACTTCGCTCGTTTGATGTCGGACTCGGTTAGGGTCTTACTAACCATTACGTGGGCATTGACCTTGGATCGGTTGCCCACGGAGCGACCTCCCCCTTATCGGATAAGCAGCGTAAAACAAGCCGGAGCGGAAAGTCCGAGGCGCACAAGGCGACTGGAAACGTAGGTCCGGAATGAGAAGCGTACTTATGCGACTTATAAAGATTTAAAAGGACTGACTAACGCAAATAAGCAGCCTTACTTAAAGACCTAACCCATAACCCATGTCTCCGCCACTACTGAGAACCCACCGTCGGCCAAGCCCCACCACTCCAAACCCCGAGGAGCTGGACTGACAATGGCGTGACCCACGAATGAACTGCTTACCAGCTCCGTCACACTAACCACCTCAGAACATCCCCGGACGTCCACCGCCGAGACAGCTCACCGAGAAACCCGAAGGATATTGCTAAGATTGACCTTTGTTTGAATGTTGGGCAAATATGACCCCTGTTTGTCCCAGGTCTGGCACTACTAAAAAACCGGTAAAGTGAAACGGCCCCCGACGTCCATGGTAAACCACGGAGGCCGAGGGCCGAGACAAATCCCAATTTATTAACCAGCAAATGCTGAAGTGACCGCCCCATCGCCAGAGACGATCACTGAGAGCCCTTTTTTTTTTTTTTTTATTACTCCGACCGGCGTAACTGTGGACCGCCCTGGAACTACCGTGAGGTATTACTTCAGGGCGGCCCACGCCGTCTCTAAAACTCACGCCACCACGTTGAAAACGAAGGGGCAAAAATAACTCACATAACATAAAACATATAAACACTAGTACCTAAGGCGCCGGCCTAAACCAGCGCCTTAGGTCCTCCTGTAACGGGCGGCGCGGCTGCCTCTGTCTCAGGCGTTCAGCTTCCTCCTTCTTTTTCAAGATGGATTCGGCGAACACCTGGACGAGCCTCCACGCCTCCCGGCTCCTCAACATCAGGTCCACCATGGACCCGACTCGGAACGTGGACCCTAGTCGAGACTCCAAAGAGTCCCGTTCCTGGGCCCACGCCTCGCACCGGAAGAGGGTGTGCAAAGCGCTATCAGCCTCTCCCGGGCGATCCGAACAGTGGTCGCACGTCGGCGCGGCTGCTTTACGAATACGGTGTAAGTACTCGTTAAAGCAGCCGTGGCCGGACATCACTTGGGTGAGACGATAAGTCATCTCACCGTGAGTCCGGTCCACCCACCTGTCCAGCCGATCGGGTCCTATGAGGGACCTGGTCCACTCGCCTCTCGTTTCCTCCGAGAGGCGAGTCCGCCACCGGAACATGGTCATCCGCCTGAGCGCTAGCCGGTCCTCGGGTTCGAGGGACCGGTTTCGCTCTCGGCGGAGCTCATGCCCGGCGGCGCGTTCCTCGGCGAGCAGGTCGGCGGGCGGCAGTGACGACAGGATACCCGCCGCCACTCTCACTGAGAGCCCAGGCCCTTCATTGCGGAAGCCCATACACCAATTGTTGTCACGCGCTCCGGCAGGGCTAACCTTTTCGGGGTGACGCATACAACGGCAAGGGAAACCGGTCATCCAAGCCAAGGCCAACAACGACCAACAGTTAAGGGGGAGAAAGGTTGACATTCAGAGCACTGGGCTGAAATCAAATCGCGTCAACACCCGTCCCGGGTCCCGGGAATTTTTTTTTCCGTGATAAAGTATATTACATTAGCTATAATTTAAGATATATATAGTTGTCATTTTAAATCCCTCTCTGTAGGCAGTTAAAAGGTTAGATTTATAAGAAAAATATACCGAATAATAGATAAAGACTTCACGCATCTATAAAAATTTTTTTTTTATTTTATCATTTTTAAATAAGTTTTCAGTAAAAAAAATTGAAAAATTTCGAAAATTAGAGATTTTTAAATTTGTGATTTTTTGGAGGTTTTCCCCATTTACAGGGAACGAGGGAAGTTTTTTCAATTTTTGAAGTAAATATCTTTGACTACATACTATTTGTGATTTTTGGATTTATGATTGAAAGAAATCGGTTTGTTGAGAGCTAAGAAAAAGTGGTATTAGACACAAAAAAAAAACACATCATAGTAAAACTAATACCTTCTCGGCTTCGCATCGAAACTAAAAGAAATATAGAATAGATTGTGGAATATTTGGAATGTTAAATTTTTTTTAATTTATATAATTATATTTTATTTTTATCAATTGATTAATGGTTCATTCTGCAATAGATTGTTGGAGGTTCGGAAGCATAGGTTAAATTGTACTTACCATACGTCTCGTGTAATGCAATAATATTTTAACTAATCTGAAGTTGAATCTGATATTAAATACACTACGTATACAATTTACACTATACGACATATAGTCAATATAATAACTGACGAAAACAGTTAAAATATTAAATAATATCATTTAATTACACAAAATTTGACTGATTTTACTTGTAAAAGATTTTAAACACACTATATTTTATTAGAAATATAATTTATAATTTGTCCTTATTTCATTTTTTTATGTTTATTGAATAAGTATTTTCTTTTTAAAGAACATATTTTATTGAGAGATCGGTACCAATATTTTTTAAATCTTCCTGTGACTTGGTCAAAAAAAGATTTAAAAATATTTATTTCTATGTAAAAAAATTTAACATGGTAGTATTGTGGTGGCCCAATGTGTCCTGGTGCTAGCGCCTTGTAATGGTGGGCACAATTATCACCAAAATAAAGATTAAATACTGTAAATATACTCGTAAGTTTCTCTGCGTTGTCTGCCGGCGCGATGTTATAACGAAGACATTAGCGATGAGACTAGCTACCCAATAAGTATAGGATTGCAATACAACTAGTACAATAAAAATATTATTAAATTAATTTAAATCTCAGTTTAAATTGAAAAAATTGTGACCTTTAACTCTGTCTGCAGACGCGATGTTTATTAAAACAAAGACATTAGTGACGAGACAAGCTACTCAATAAAGAAAGCTCACAATAAATTTTTATTATTATTAAAAATTAAAAATTGTATTGGATTTATAATTAAAATAAAATAATTATAAATAAATTTAATGTTTAAAATATTATTTGATATTAATTTCCACAATAAGAAAAATAAAACATTATTGTTTAATGAACAAATTAACTTAAATTAAAAGATTCACCAAAACAGAATTCACTTTAAAATTTCTCAATGTCATCTAGTTTCAAAAAAATATATTTACCGAAAAATTACCGAAAGAACTGGTTTTGACTGGGGAAAATGGCTTTTTATAGTCTGAAGGGGGTAGCTTAGTGATACCTAGCGTGATCTTGGAAGCTGAAGCTTTCTATTCTAATTGGTTAATTATAATGAGGGCCTTGCGTGTAGGCGTTACTTAATAATCTCTACAATAAGTAGATTTTATACCATAATTAACTGATTATTTTGTATTTAAAATAAAATAGCCTTGTTATGGTGATATGTTATTATTATAAGTATAATATAATATTAAAATAATAGTGGAGCGATTGGCCACTAGAATTATACACGTTAAAAACGTTCGAACCAGTAATACTCAAGCGCCATGGAAGATACGAGTACGGGTATGTAACACTCTACTCTACTGGTTCTCCTTTTTATGAAACTATTTATAAGTTTCTTCATAGTCTAAATAAGTAATGAAGTGAGAGTTAATGATCTGTAGGATTTTGTTTCATAGTACATAGTACAATTAGGTTTAGGTATGAATACCACGCTAACCATTCGTCAGCTTTCAGGTAGATAACCGTAGGCATGTTTTAAATATGTTGCAGATATGGCGTTTGATTAGACCTTTTTAGACCACTTTTGTTAAAATGCAGGAAATATTTCATCAAGTCCTGTATCTCTATAACTGCCAAAAGCATTTATTACCTATCTTATTCCACATGGGGTTATTATTTCCTCGTTAGCTGCCGTTCAGCAAGGGTCGCATATTTACCTCGCACTTCATGTAACTTTTTGGTTTTATCCAAAATTTAAAAAATAAGAAAACTCTAATGATTTCTTATAGTTAACTTGTGTCACAATTACGCTAAAGTTGAGATAAATTTTGATTAAAATAAAAAAATTATGAATTATTCACTACATAATTATTTGATAATTATCTTGTCTAAATTCAATATATTGATTTATATAGTAAAAAGTGTAATGTAATTATATGAAACTCTGAATACTTGGTTATTAATAAAAAAGCGATGTTAATGACAAAAGCTGCGATCTTCATGCATAATTCCAAATTTCTTATCTACTAACTATCAAGGTAACAGAGCTAAGAAAAACTGACGGGATGATAACGTGATCCGTTGTTATGAATAAAACTATTCATTTAAGACTTATTATAAAAGCCATATGCGCAGTTTCAACAACATTTTTGGAAGGAATTATTATATGTAATTTTTCACCCGTGGTTCATTTTTTTTTAAATATTAATAATAAAAACAAACATTTTGTATCTTTTTGAATGTAATTTTATTAGTAAAAGAACCATAAAACCTTCTTACAAAGTAATTATTTAATATTTTTAAAAAGCAGGTGAAGATGAAATATGTTTGTATAAATCTGAACATGTCAGTCATTTATTGAAGCCTTGCAATTATCGCATTGGAACTATGTGTTCACTCTATATACAAAACGGTTTTAAGAAATGTTTTTTATGTAGAACAAGAGTTGAAGAATGTATATCTATAAGTATGTTTTTTATCTATTATATTTAAATTTTAAAGTAAAATCAAAAAAACATTTTTTTTTTAATAAAAATACTAATAATCAATTGTTCACTTAATAATAATTCAGTTATGTTTGGGTTATTCGAACAGACAAGTTGACTAATATGATGTACCAAAGAATTGATGTTAGACTAAATATATTGATGACATATTTTATTTATAATATTTTTAAAGAGCTCTTGACTTATACTTTGTATAAAATATACTTTGAGTATATTTTTGAAAAACATATTATTTTTAGTTTTAGTTTTAGTTGTTATTGAGGTGGACATAATGCCCATGCACTCAGACCTGTTGGTCCATTGTGCGCACCTCATACCGAATTGTCTCGATTCGGTTTACCCACCTAAGTGTTATCACCAAAGTGTTAATACATTACCAACCATAAAGTCACCTCTAGAGATGACCAAAGAGTCCTGTCTTTCTGGCGAAATTAAGTATCTCTCTGGGTTTTAGGTTTTTAATATCCTCTTTTTCAGGAAATGGTTTGTTCAAGTAGTTTGATCTTAGTGTGGACAAGGCTTCTCATTCGCACATGATGTGAAATGAGTCTTCTTCTTCTACTCCACACTTCCTGCACAATGGTGATTCTGATACCCCCATTGCGTTAAGATGCTTAAGCAGGTGACCATGTCCTGTCAGTAGACCAGTCAGGGTGCTTATTTGATGTCTAGTCATGCTATTAAGATCACCCAGCAATAAACCAGGGGTCTTGATAAACATTTTAGATTGTCTAGGTACTACCAAGTACTTCCAGATTTTCCTGTGTTGTTCTCTGCACCAATTCTTGGGTAACGTTTTGAGCGATTGCTCAGTGAGGCCTACCACTGGTTCTGGTCCAACATAGGTGTTCTCTGCTCCTTTCCTGGCTAGAAAGTCAGCATTCTCATTTCCAGTGACACCGTTGTGTCCCGGTACCCACGCTAGTGTAACTTTGTTGAACCTCGATAGTGATTCTAAAGTTTCCCTGCATTCGAGGACCAGCTTTGAATTCACCTGATCGTTACAGAGTGCTTTCAAAGCCGCTTGACTATCACTTAAGATAGTTATCTTCCTATTTTTGTATACCAGCAGGTTCTGAGCCCCTACCAGTATCGCCATCACCTCTNTTGAGCCCCTACGAGTATCACCATCACTTCTGCTTGGAAAACAGAGGGTGTTATGCCCAATGACATACTGACATTTATTCGTGGCTTTAAGCCCCAAATTCCAGCACCTACCTTTCCTGATTTTTTGGATCCATCTGTATATATCACAAATCCTCCTTTGTCAGTCAGGTGGTTAATATTCCATTCTATACGTGTAGTGATCTCCACTTTGTAGGGAATGTTATTCTTAAGAACCGGTTTGATATAGTCCAAGGGGTATTNGAGACCGGTTTGATATAGTCCAAGGGGTATTCTAAAAAGCCCTTGTCTATCTCTTTTAGTATTTTACCATGTTCTGTTGTATTACTCTCCAAAGTCCACATACCTAAGTTGTGGAATCTTAGTGCTGTAGCTTTGGCGTGAGCTTTCACCTCTAGATGCAGAGGAGGCAATCCAATTAGTGCCTCTAATGCGACCGTTGGTGTAGTTCTTAATGCTCCAGTGATGGCAATAGCAGCCATTCTCTGTATGCGACTAAGTTCTTTCCTAGCTGTAATGAGTGCTGTTCTGGTCCACCAGACCAGGGCACCGTACAATATCATAGGTTTAATCACTGACGTGTACAACCAATACATAACTCTTGGTTTAAGACCCCATGTCTTTCCCAAGGCTCTGCTGCAAGTCCACAATGTGGTCATTGCTTTTTTGATTCTTGACTCAACATGTGATTTCCATTTTAGCTTACTATCCAAGATAATACCTAAGTATTTTACTTCTGATTTTAAGCTAATTTCTTGTCCATTCAGAGTAAGAGTGTCCAGGTTGTCTAGTCCTATTCTCTTTCTAGTGAACATAACAACCTCTGCTTTATTTGGATTAACAGATAGACCGTACTTACTACACCATATCTGTATAGTGTTAAGTCTCTGTTGTGCTAAGTCAATAATAGTGTCTGGGAATTTACCCACCACTGTTATAACCAAGNCGAATTTACCCACCACTGTTATAATCAAGTCATCCGCATAGGCTTGTGTATAACAATATTTGTTTAACTCTCTAATAAACGAGTCCAATACTAGACACCATAGCAAGGGGGATAGAACCCCGCCTTGTGGGCATCCCTGTTTGACACTCTTGATTACTTTGGTCTCATTGAGCTGTCCCAAAATGGAGCGTTCCTTAAGCATGGATTCTATCCACTTAATAATAAGTGGTTCTATTCCACGCTGTTGTGCAGATTCACACATAGCATCGAAGGGAGTATTGTCAAAAGCCCCTTCGATGTCCAGGAATATACCTACTGCATACATTTTATTCTCTACAGCTTTCCCTATCTTAGTAGTTAAGCAGTGTAGAGCTGTATCAGTAGATTTCCCCGTTTGATACGCATGTTGGTTTTCATGTAAAGGGTTCTCCTTAAGAGGCCCCTCCTTGATGTACCTATCAATAAGTTTCTCCATAGTCTTAAGAAGAAAAGAAGTAAGACTTATTGGTCTGTAGGATTTTGCTTCATAATAGTTAGTGCGGTTAGGTTTGGGTATAAACACTACCCTAACCTTACGCCAGCTTTCTGGTTGATAACCATAGGCAAGGCATGCCCTAAATATTTTGCAGAGATGGGGGACGATTATCTCTAACCCTTCTTGCAGAAGTGCAGGGAAAATTTCGTCACAGCCTGCAGCTTTAAAACTGCCAAAGGCTTTTATTGCCCATCTTATTCCACTTGGGGTTATCACTTTCCTGGTTAGTCTCCAATCAGCACAGGTCACACGTTTGTCCTGTGCATCATGTTCCTGTTCTCTGTTGTTAATTGTAGAGTCAGGAAAATGTGTGTTCATCAAATGTGATAATGTTTCATTATCATTATTGGTGAACATTCCGTCTGGCAGTAGTATTGCCTCGACAGTTTTGTTTGGTCCATTCCTTAGTGATCGCAGAAGTCTAGTTGCTATAGGGAGTTGTTGTATATCCCCACAGAACTTCTTCCAGCTTTCTCTTTTGGACTTTTTCAATGCAGATTTGTAGTTCCTTTGGGCGTCCTTATAGGATTCCCAGTGTTGTTCCAAACCTGATTTCATTGCTATATTTAAGAGCTTGCGTGAACTCTTTCTTAATTTAAACAGGTTAGCATTCCACCTAGCTACACCCTGCCCTGTACCTTTCCTTTCTATTAAAGGACAGTTTTCTTTGTAAGCTGAGACAATGGAGTCCTGTAGCATATTTACAGCCCTTTCAGTACTCTGTCTCGACCCCAATCTAAACTGTAGGTTAATCAGGTCACGAGAGAGATCTGCCCTGTATTTGTCCCAGTTTGTTCTTTTCGGGTTCCTATAGTACTCCGTCTCAACTTTGTTAATTTCCAAAGTGAATCGTAAGTGCCTATGATCAGAAAGAGAAGGTTCGGAGGACACTTTCCACCCTTTTATCTTTTGAAGTAACCCTTTTGAACAAACTGTTAGATCAATGACTTCCTGCCTGTTCCTGATAACAAAAGTAGGTTCACTACCTCTGTTCAGTATACTTAGGTCTGTAGTCAGCAATAGATCCATTATAACCTCTCCTCTTTGGTTGATGTTACTGCTCCCCCAAATAGTGTGGTGTGCATTAGCATCCATACCTAGGATTAGTTCTAATTTTTCATTTTTGCAATAATTAAAGAGCATAGTTAGGTCCCTACCTGGGTCTGTGACCTCATATGGTAAGTATCCTGAAGCTACTATGATATTTTTACCATCATTTAGTGTTACTCTAATAATAGTCAAGTCTGCACTTGATAGATTAAGTATCAGGCTGGCTTTAACTTTATTATTAACCAAAATGCAAGTTCTTGGTTTATCTGCTTGTTTATGAAACAGTTTAAAATCCCTTAGATTTAGCCCCTTAATCTGGTCCCCATTTATCCATGGTTCCTGAATAAGTGCTATTTGTAAGGGTGTTGTATGCCTCTCAGTTAGGGTCCTTAGTAATACACTACTGGCCCCTTTACTGTGATACAGGTTTATTTGCGTGAATTGAATTCTATTGTCAGCCATTCAGAAAAACTGATGTTGACGCTTAAGAAAGCACGCTGTACTGGGTGTGATACAGGTGTCTGAAACAGTCCCTGTGTCACACAGCCCCCCCTGTGGGTGGTGTCCCACCGCCGTCCCCAGGTGGCGACAGTGCCTTGGTTTTGCTCTCCACATTTCCTTTTGGATCTGTGGAGAGGTTCCCCTCAGCTGTGGCCGTTATTGAGGGTGGCGGTTTCCTGAGTCCCTTTCCCTTACGTAACACACTTCCTCCCTTCCCTTTTGAGACAGGAGTATTGCATCAAGACTTAATTTTGATTCATGTTTGTCACAGAAATAACATTTGTCATAGAAATACGAAATTATTAAATATCAATTTCATACTATATTTAATTGCTGTAATAAATATATATATTTTTTTTTTTTGTTTATTAGATTTAAATATTTAAATTTCCAAATTTTTGAATTAATATACATGTGTAATACACAAGTATGTACAAATACAAATAGCTAATTGATTTTTTATAACATCGGCAATCGCAGGTACTCAGCATTTATTATAAATTGTAATAAGGCATATTGTTATGAGTTTATAAATACACAAACTGGCAATATAAAATATATATCTTTTAATAGTCATAATTGACAATAAACACTCTGTGACTATGACAACGATGTCATAAAAAACCAATTTTTCTAACTTTTTCGTAAACCAAAATGCATGTTTTTGGTTTATCTGCTTGTTTATGAAACAGTTTAAAATACACTAGATTCAGACTTTAATCTGATAACAATTTATCCATAGTTTTTGAATGTGTACTATATATAAGGGCGTTGTTTGCCTCACAGTTAGAGTTCTTAGTATATACTACTAGTCCTCTGTAAGTGATGCAGGTTTATTTTCATAAATGGGCATTTTTTTTTTATTAAATTTTGTATTTTAAAATTATTTTCTAATTTAAGTATTAAATTTTAGAAGAATATAACAAAAAAGAAACGGAAAACATAGAAAATGCCAGAAAAGCTGAAGAAGCCAAACAAAAAAGAAATTTAGAGGTCTAAAAAAGTTTTTATGTAATACATATGGAGAATCATATGATTAATATGATTCCTTTGATTTATTTAAAAGAACGGCAATGAATATTTCTACAGATTAATAAATCACGGAAATATTTTTTATGATTTATTTTTAATTCAAAATTAAAATGATAATAACTTTAAATTTCCTTTTATTATAAAGTGATAGTTGTTTAATAATTAACATATAAAAAAATTTGTGATTTTAAAGAAAATACTCAATTAATAAAAAAAACATTTATAACTACAATTCACATACAATATTTTTTATGATACTGCTCTTTGACAAATATTATGTAAATGTTTGCGTTTAGCAAAGTCTATCTTTAAATTGTAGTCACACTGATTGGTCACCCGTCACTTCTCTTATCAATGGTCAAATTAATCTGTCGGGGTAGCGGTTATGCGCTTAAAAATCTATTCTCATATTCGTTTTGGATTTCCAAGCTGTCGAGTTGACGTTGTGAATATTTCAATTTTTGTGACTAGTCGCCATTGTTTTTAACTCATTTAATTGTTAAATTTTCTTATTAACCATTATCGCTGTCATATTGTTGGCAAATTTATAACGGTAATGCACATTAATATTGTAATTTGTAGGAACTTTGCTTACAACTAATTCCTAACTTAAATTCTTAAATCAAGTTTTAGAATCCTCGTGGTTGATTTCAAATTTCTTATTAAATATTGGTCTATTAGTAATATTGTTGGGTAGAGTGTAGCACGCGTGTATGACCGGTTCGAACGTGTTCATGCTTCGTCCGGTCATCGTTACATCCTCAGCGAGCGACACAACCTCTTTGGTACGTAAACAGTACACTTGTCTCGCGCATCTAATANACCACACAGTAATAGGCCATTCCCCTTTAATATTAAGGGGCTGCTTGTTACAAATATAAGTTAATTATTACACATTTGTTGTTGTCATATCAAATAGATATTGTAATAGTACATTAAATAGTCAAAGTCAAAATCTTAAATTATTGTTGAAATCATTCACTAGAGTTCTAATACTTCTTGGAGGTGGGTGGTAAAACTTTAACCAATTGAATCTCATAATTGTTTTACTCATTGACAATATGTCATGTAAAATTACCTATAATTATTAAAATNTCTTTACTGATTTTGTTCAGTTAGTTTCCAGTCAATAATTTTGTCACAGTCTCAATTTTTCTCAAGCCGACATCAGATAAGTTATTAATTTATTATCATTTTGTAATTGTTTTGTATCATAAGATTAATATTGTTTTCGTATGTAAGTTATCCCCCCCTTCCCATTACTTTTAAGAATTTCATTTGCAAAACAGTAAATATATTTCTTATTTTATATATATATATATATATATATATATATATATATATATATAAGCAGGTGTACCTAATTTCTTACCCCCTCTTATTTTCTTCTATTTATCGTTTTACTACAAAATAAACAACGTTACCACACAGTAATAGGCCATTCCCCTTTAATATTAAGGGGCTGCTTGTTACAAATATAAGTTAATTATTACACATTTGTTGTTGTCATATCAAATAGATATTGTAATAGTACATTAAATAGTCAAAGTCAAAATCTTAAATTATTGTTGAAATCATTCACTAGAGTTCTAATACTTCTTGGAGGTGGGTGGTAAAACTTTAACCAATTGAATCTCATAATTGTTTTACTCATTGACAATATGTCATGTAAAATTACCTATAATTATTAAAATCCATTGTCGATCAGTCGCTAATATTCAATTTTTTTCACAATTTTTGTCTATACTCATATTTGTAATCCCTCAACTTAAATTTATTTTGTCTTCTCAGAAACTATATAGTTTCTCAATTTAAACATTCACACTAAACCTCACAAAATTGAATATTAGTTATTGATCTCACTGTAGTTCCTTACATGACAAACTTCATTGATAAATTGCTCCTATTAGTTTTTTTTTTACATGTAGTTTAGAATTAGCTTACACCTTAAAATCAAATGAGTATTAATTCTTTGAGTTGACAATTCATTAATTTTGAAACATTATATTAAAAATTTTATTTGTATTGCATACATTTAAGCATGTTAAGTATATTGAATATATTGTTAAATTTACTTATACATGTTGCTTGTGAAATCAATATCAGATTGTAAGTTGTTACTCGTTTTATAAGTCTATTTAATATAATTGAATTTTGATTGTATGACTAGTTTAAAACAATAGTTTGGTTATCATTTTGAAAATGCATGTTGTTTTCTAGTGTACAAAATCAAACTTTTCACTTGTAATCATAAAGTAACTTTGTTGTCTTAAATGTAGTGTTTTACCTAGTTGTCATTAGAATAAAAATATTTACTTGTACGCATAGAAATAAATCACTCATATATCTAGTTAACTTTCTCTCTAGCTGTTGTCATTTAAGTTTACCCTCTATACAGTCCACTAAGAACATACAAAATAAATTTGGTAATTTCATCAGTGCCAAATATTGGGTCTACTTGTAATTGTGATACAATTGTTCACTCAGCGTTGACTTCACTCAAACAATTAAATTTTAAATATTCAATTAGTCTGTTAGTTAATGTAGTGCGCCTACAGTAAATAATCAATTAATTACCATTTTTGTCCAATTTTCAACCCCGAATAAGTAAAAATCGAATGATCCACCTGAAAATATTTTGATTCATTTTTACTGTTCAGAAATGTTTTTAATAACTTTATTTTATTGTTTAATTTTCTATAGGCAGTTAAACTATTAAATCTTATGCAAAAGAATTAAAAATATTTTGAAGTAATAGTGTAAAGCCAAAGATTTTCCGAATTAAAAAAATTAAGACCACCCTACTGATAATTTTACGAGTAAACAAGTGTGTTAATATTTGAATTTTTCATTATATTGATGTGAAATTTTTTTTGTGGCGCGTCAGATCGGCTTTTGACGTAACATCTCTTTTCAGTCGTCTCAGCAATTTTCTCTCTCTCACTCACCACATTGTACTCATATACTTGTAGCGTATGCGTAAGTGCCCATTAGGGGGAAGTGCAAGGAAGTTGTAATAAACCAAAAATAAAAAGAAAGAAAAGAAATTGAATTAGAAAATAAGAGAAATAGAGAAGAAATAGTGGTGGGTAGAATATTATTTATAGTTGTTATTTTTATAAGTTTGTGTAGATTTAATGTTTTCAATTTTATTTAAATTAATTTTCTCATTAATTATTAATGGTTTATCATTCAATAGATTGTTGGAAGTTCGAAAGCATAGATTAAATTGTACTTACCTTACGTCCTATGTAGTACAATAATATTTCAAGTAATCCAGTGTTGATTTCCGCATTAAACGCACTACATATACGATTTACACTATTCGTCATATAGTCTATGTAATTACTTATAAAAACGATTCAAGATTTTTAAATATTATGATTTAATTGCACAAAGTCTAAGACTGATCTTACTTGTAAAAGATTCTAAACACTCTGTATTTTATTATAAATACAATTTTTATTTTTTTTTACTTATTGATTTTTTTACGTCTATTGAATAAGTATTTTTTAGAGAGTATATTTTTTTATTGAGAGATCGATACCAATATTTCTTAAATTTTCCTCTAGCCTGGCCAAAACAAGATTCAAAAATATCTATATCTATGTAAAAAATTTATCAAGGCAGAATTGTGGTGGCACAATGTGCCCCGGCGCTAGAAAGCGCCTTGAAAGGATGCGGCACAATAATCACCAAGACAAAATTTAAACATTGTAAATATATTAGTAAGTTTCTCTACGTTGTCTACCGGCGCGATGTTTGTTAAAACAAAGACATTAGCAACGATACTAGGCTACCCAATAAGAAAAGCTCACAATAAATTTTTATTATTAAATAAAAATCTAAATTTAGGTTGGATTTATTATTAAAATAAAATAATTTTAAAAAGATGTGATGTTTAAAATATTATTTGATGTTTATTTCCACAACAAGAAAAATAAAATATTATTAATGATTGAACAAATTAAATTAAATTAAAAGATTCACCAAAACAAAATTCACTTTAAAATTTCTAAGTGTCATTTAGTTTTAAAGAAAAATATTACAAGTCCAAATTAATTAAAAAATCGACTAAGTCCCGGAGAGTGAAATATTGAGTAGAGTGTCGTAGATTTTGTGTATTTTAAAATCGTCAAAAGAACTGGTTTAGACGGAGAAAAATGGCTTTTTATAGTTTGTATTCTAATTGGTTAATTAAAATGGGGTCCCTGCGTGTAGGCGTTACTTAATAATTTCTACAAGAGGGAGATTTTATCGCATAATTAAAGGGTTATTTTGTATTTTAAATAAGAGAACCCTGTTTTGGTGATCTTGTATAATCATAATATGTGACATACATGAACAAATGATAACATCTTATTATATATTAATATTATATGTAATAATATAATATTACAATGTCTAAATTCTGTTATAATTCAAATAACAAAAATAAATAAAATAAAAATAAAGAACTATAGGCACTTGGATTTTGTATTTGGTGAGATCCTGAGTTGTGGTTCTATCGAGGTTTTATGATTCGAGGGTTTAGAACGACAAAGACAAGAGATGTAATAAACTTTTATCTGGTTAGTTTCTAATGTCCTAACTAAGAGGCAGTTCATGAATACCTCGGCAACAAGACGGCAGAGCCAGTTCACGAATATCATATAAAGTGATCTGTATAATTTCTTTAACCAACCAAGTCAAAATTGACACTTTAAGATATTAATTTAATAATTGATCTATTGCTTTGTCATCCTTTACTCAAACTTATTAACTCTAAATAATTGGGATAACATAAATTCACTTACTTCTTTTATTCTTGCAAATTGCTGCAAAATGATTTGATAAATATCTCGATATGTTTATATATGCTTAAAAGTATTTAATTCGCACTTCGTCAAAAGATAAATAATTAAAACAAGTTCTTTTCATATACAGGGTGATTTTTTTATCATAACCCACTCAATTACTTACAGAATAATAATAATTAAAAAAAAAAATTTTATTATTATCTTTAGTTACACATTATTCTTGAATTATTAAA